ATATATTTTTTTTTATTTTTTTTATTTATTATTTTATTTGCTTTCTTTTTCTCATCAAGTCAAATAGAAAAAGGAAAAAAAAGATAAACATAATATTGTTTTCTGTTTTTAACTGCTCCTCCTATTTTTCTCTCTTTTTATTTTAAGATTTTAAAGTTAAAAAAGTACATGACAGCTCTTATTTCTGCTATATTTTAGCTACACCTTAAAGGGACAGTTAACATAAATGGGAGTTTTGTGAAAAGCTTAGGAATGATTAAAATCTTATCTGTTGTAAATAACTCTTTGACTGAACTCCGTTTGAAGAAACAGAGTTAAATTCTGACCTGACTGATGAGCTAATGGTTAGTCCAAGTGAGACCAAGACCAGAATGAACTGTTGGACACATAAAACATCTTCAATCTCTAAAATGTTCCAGTAGTGAATGTTATTTTATAAATGTCTACCTCATATTATTCTGCATTACACAGTTTTGGCAGCACAATGGCTCAGTGGTTAACATTGTTGCCTCACAACAAGAAGTCCTACATTCTTGACTTTCCTCTTCTCCTTCGGTCTCCTGACACGTCTCCCTCCTCGTGGTCATCAACTAACAGTAGCACAATTTCCGCCGGGGGACGGTGGCAGTTGTTGTTAACCCGGTCCTCGAAAGATCTGATATGGTTTTGCTTAGATAAAACTTATATGTTGCAAAACTTGTTTTGGCAAAAGTGTTTTACAAAGGAATGCTCTTCCTGACACAACCCTCAACATTTACCCGGGGTTGACTGGCTTGTGCTCCCTAGAGGCCGGTTTAAAATAAAAAATAAAAAAGCTAAAACAATAAATTTTTTGTTGGATTTTATCTGGCACCAAAGAAATGAACTCTTTCTTTGATTTAAAATATACATATTTCTGATTTTTTTTTTTTTTTACTTTACCCAAACTGTGGAATTGTAAGGCTTTGAGACGTTCATTTGTTTATTTTACTGCAGTAGAAGTAAAATTGTGTTGTGAAATTTGTAACCCAAATAATTTTAGGATAAAATGTTTTCTTTGAATCTTCTGCATTTTATGGCAAAAATATAGCTGTTTGCTGACAGCCTTTACTTTTCATTTTAACGACATTTTCTTTAATTGGTTATTACATTCTTATTTTCCCTCTGTCTTTGTAAATCTTTAATCTTTTGACAAGAAACACTACCACCTAAGTTTAAGCAAATGAATTATACTGTGGGAGCGGAGTGCTGCCTTAGATTAGTCAGAAACATTAATTATTGATTCCAGAGGCGTCTGGTTGGATGACCAAGTTTAGTAACTCACCAGTCAATCAGATAAAGGTCAGGGGTCAGGTTGCTGGTTTGGAAGTGGCTGAAGAGACGTGGCAGATTCTCCTCAAAGAAAATCTCAAAGGCTGCAAAATATTTCAACATCTGACACAAAAAAAGAGAAAAGAGAAGGTGTTTTTTTTATATCTTAGTTTGTGTCAAAGTGATCAGAAAGCAAATCCTATTTATGAGTCGTTAATAAAAAAGAATTCTACACCATTTATTGATATTAAATGGAAATCAACAACAAAGGACTTTCTTTCTGTGTAATCTCTTCATGAATGTGTCCTATTTCCAAAGCAGTGGAGTGAGTGTAGTCTGCGAAGGATAAATCCTACCAGATCATGGTCAACTCTGAAAAAGGCCATCTGACACGGTTTATTGAGTAAGTTGGCGAAGGTGATGAAGGCTTCGGCCTCCTCCAGGTTCAAGATTAGAACTGCAGCGATGAACGACATTCCCTGAACCTGACACAAAAAAAAAAAAAAAAAATTTATATTAATTATACTAGTTATATACATATATCAAAAAGAGGAGCTTTAAACAATTGTGTGGAATTTTTATAGCAAATTAGCTTTAGCGGTAATTAATACATTCTGTCTGAATAAAACCAAAACATTCACTTTAAATTTTGCTCCTGACATAGCATTCATTTGTTCATTGACCTTAAGCAGCATACATTTGTACTTGTTTCCCTATTTTTCTGTACTTTTTTCAAAATAAATTAAAACTTTGCGCCAAAGCATAACATCACAGAAATACTAGAAAAATGTTGATCTAAATCAATTAACACACTTGTTTCAGTAAATAGTTTGTGAATATTTTTATTTGTTTTTATTTACACTTTCTGTGCTCTGTTTTGTTGTTGCTGGGACATCTGAATTTCCCCAGTGTAGGGTAAAGTATTGTCATATATAAACAATATGCAATAGAGTAGTAAATATGACCAGAAAAAATGATTGACACGATCATGAGAGCTAAGGATTTTTAGCTCATTTTAAGTTTTAGTTGTTAAATTTTTGCTAAATTGAACATTGTAATGAAACATTGTGTGTGTGTGTGTGTGTGTATATATATATATATATATATATAAAATAGATAGCAAGGGTGTCAGAAGCATCTGTAATGTGGGGGGGGGACAAAATGATGTGTGTAGGTGTGCGTGCGCACGTAAAAAAAAGGTGTTCACTAGAGTACAAAAAAGCAACATTTCACCTAGATTTCCTTCAATTCCACACATTTAAAACATGTTTCTCACCAAGTTTGTGTAAATTCTTCTGTGGATTTTAAAGACATTTTAACTTTAATACACTTTAATACAGAGCCTCAGATCAGCACTCTTTGTGTTTATAGAGAAATAAAAACTGGACTTTTTTACTTGTGTTCAACACTACTCATCTAAATGATGTTTCTCATGAAGCTTGAGGACAATAAGGTGTGGGGTTTTAAAGATGTTACAATTTTAATGCACCTGAACACACACTGTCTCTTACACCTGCAGCGTCTGACAGCGTCACAGGTACTGCTAAGATAAGATGCTACAGATGTAGCGCTCCACTTCTCTCCTCCTAACATGAATATATGTTTCTGATCAACCCCCTGGTCAACCACTGCCCGCACTAAACTGCTAAACTGGCGAGCGAGTAACACAGAGGTGTCTCCATCTCCTCTACGTGTGCGCGTTTTCTGCCGAGGCAGGAGGCAGGAAGAGACCGGTGGAGAGTTGGAGGTAACCAGGAAAACCTGGAGTGGAGTTTTAGTGGTTTGAGTATTCTCCTATTATTCAAGTGGAATGGATTCGTTTACGAAGAAAAATAAACTGCGCCGCCTGAACTAATGTTTTATAGTAAAAGTGGAAGGTCCAAATGAACGTTTTTTTAATGTGGGGGGGACTTGTCCCCTTCACATATAATGGTTGGGCCACCTATGATGGATAGACAGACAGACAGATATAGAAATATATAAAAAAAAAAAATTTTCTTCCAAAAACTCATATGGACACGAAAAAACAAGGGTAAGGGTTAAGGGTTCAGTGTCCCTTGCCTGGACGTGGGTTACCGGGACCACTCCCTGGAGTCAGGCCTGGGGGAGAGGACCGTAGGCGAGCACCTGGTGGCCGGGTCTCTACCCATGGAGCCCAGTCGGGCTCTGCCCAAATGAGCAACATGGGTTTGCCCTCCTGTGGGCCCACCACCTGCAGGAGGGGCCATACAAGTCGGTCGCATGATGCCATGGGCAGTGGCCGAAGGCGGGGGCCTTAGCATTCTGACCCTGACTTACCAAAGCTGGCTCTGGGACATGAAATGTAACCTCTCTGGTGGGGAAGGAGCCTGAGCTTGTGCGTGAGGTTGAGAGGTACCGACGAGACATAGCTGAGCTCACAGCATGGGCTCTTGAACCGATCTCCTTGAGAGGGGCTGGACCTTATTCCAACCTAGAGTGACCCATGGTGAGAGGTGCTGAGCTGGTGTGGGACTACTTTTAGTCTCCCAACTTGGTGCCGGTGTGTTGGAGTTTTCCTCGATAGATGAGAGAGTGGCTTCCCTGCACCTTTGGATGGGGAACAGGCTCTGACTGTTGTTTGTGCCTATGCACCAAATGGCAGATCAGAGTATTCTTGGAGTCCTTGGCTGTGGTGCAGGAAGGTGCGCCAGCTAGGGACTCCTTTATTCTGCTGGGGGACTTCAATGCCTTTGTGGGTATTGACAGTGTGACCTGGAAGGGCATCGGGGAGAACGGCCTCTCTGATCTGAACCCAAGAGGTGTTCTGTTGTTGGGACTTCTGTGCTAGTCATAGTTTGTCCATAACGAACACCATGTTCAAACATAAGGGTGACCATAAGTGCACTTGGCAGCAGAATGTCCTAGGTTGTAGATCGATGATTGACTTTGTAGTCATGTCATCTGATTTGTGGCCATTTGTTTTGGACATTCAGGAGAAGAGAGGAGCTGAGCTGCCAATTGATCACCACCTGGTAGTGAGTTGGATCAGATAGCAAGAGAAGATGGCAGACAGACCCAGTAGACCCAAACGTGAAGTGAGTGTTTGCTGGGAACGCCTGGCAGAAGAACCTATCAGAAAGATCTTCAACTCACACCTCAGGGAGAGATTTAACCATATCCCAGATGAGGCAGGAGAAATTAAGTCTGAGTAGGCTAAGTTCTGTGCCTCAATTGTTGAGGTAGCTGCCTTGAGCTGTGGCCGCAAGATTGTCAGTGCTTCTCGCGGTGGCCATCCTCAAACTCATGGTGGACAGCCTGGGTTAGGGAGGCTGTCAAACTGAAGGAATCATTCTATCGGACTTTGTTGGCTGATGCGACTCTGAAAGCAGCTGAGGACTACCGGAGGGCCAAGCGGTCTACAGCCTTGGCTCTTGCTGAGGCAAAAGCTCAGATGTGGGAGGAGTTCGGCGAGGCCTTGGATAAAACTCTCGGTCGGCTCCAAGGACATTCTGGTAAACCATCATGTGGCTGAGGAGGGGAAAGCAGCGCTTTAGTAACAATGTTTTCAGGTTATGGTGGAGTGCTGTTGACCTCAACCAGTGATATTGTCAGGAAGTGGAAGGAATACTTCTGACTTTCTCAATCCCACCGGCACGTTTTCTATCGAGGAAGCAGAGTTGAGGGACTTCGGGGTTGTTCTATCTATAACCGTAGCTGAGGTCACAGAGGTAGTTAAAAAGCTCCGCAGCAGCAGGGCTCCAGGGGTGGATGAAATTCGCCCCCGATTTCCTTAAGGCTCTGGATGTTGTGGGGATGTCTTAGTTGACACGCCTTTGCAACATCACATGGACATCAGGGGCAGTACTACTGGACTGGCAGACTGGGGTGGTGGTTCCCCTCTTCCAAAAGGAGGACCGGAGGGTGTGCTCCAATTATAGGGGCATCACTCTCCTTAACCTCCCTGGTAAGGTCTATTCAGGGGTACTGGAGAAGCGAGTTTGATTGTTTGTTGAACCTTGGATCCAGAAGGACCAATGCAGGTTCCATCCTGGCTGTGGAACACTGGATCCACTCTTTACCCTCACTAGGGTCCTTGAGGGGTCATGGGAGTTTGCCCATCCAGTCTATATGTGTTTTGTGGACTTGGTGAAGGTATTCAACTGTGTTCCTTGGGGGGGGGGGGGGGGGGGGTGTGCTCTGTGAGTATAGGAATGGTGGCCCGTTGCTACAGGCTGTTCAGTCCCTATACAAGCGGTGCGAGAGTTTGGTTTGCATTGCCGGTAGTAAGTCGGACCCCTTCAGGGTGGAAGCTGGACTCCACCAGGGCTGCCTGTTGTCACAAATTCTGTTCATAACTTTAATGGATAGAATTTCTTGGTGCAGCCAGGGGGTGGAGGGTTTCCGGTCTGGTGGCCTCAGGATTCCTTCTCTGCTGTTTGCAGATGATGTGGTTCTGTTGGCATCATTGTGCCATGACTTCTAGCTCTCACTGGAGCAGTTCGCAGCTGAGTGTGAAGCGGCTGGGATGAGAATCAGCACCTCCAAATCTGAGGCCATGGTCCTAAGTCGGAAAAGGGTGGATTGCTCTCTTCGGGTCAAGGGTGAAGTTCTGCCTCAAGTGGAGGAGTTCAAATATCTCGAGGTTGTGTTCACTAGTGGTTCGGGTATCTGGTAAGAACGCTTTCTGGGTGCCTCCTAAGGGAGGTGCTTTGGACATGTCTGACTGGGAGGAGACCCCGTGGAAGACCCAGGACATGCGTCTCTCGGTTGGCCTGGGAATGGCTTGGGGTCCTCCCAGAATAGCTGGAAGAGGTGGCTGTGGAAAGAAATGTCTGGGCCTCTTTCCTCAAGCTGCTGTCCCCGAGACCCGACTTCGTATTAAGCAGAAAAAAATGGATGGATAAAAAAAACTAAATTGCAAAAAATGTTGAAAGGTTCCAATGCAGCTAATTGTTGACTTAAATTGTAATAATTTATTCTGACAAAATGCCTAAGTTTTGATGTATAAATTGTATTTTGTATTTACAATTGTGTAAATGTTTAAGCAAAAACATTAGATTACATTAACATAAAATTACATTAACATTAGACTACGGTTGATTTTATTAGAATAAAAAAAATAGATAACTCAAACGGTAGTGTGACATCACAAAGTTAAACAAATATTTGGTGGTAAAATATCCAAAAATCAAGACTGCGAGTAATTCATTGATTGCTATAAGATATTTCGAAGTTTGAGTTTTTGACATAGTTTTCCATTACTACTGCTGAGAATTTCAGTTTCTTGTGTTAAAAAAAGCAAGAGCGTTATCTTAACTCAGTCCAAAATAAAAGCTTCTAATTTAATTGTCGCCACAAAAAAAGAGTTTGGTAAAAATTAATAAACTGTTATGTTGTGATGGATAAAAACAAACTCACGTAGCCAATGTCGGGTCTGTAACAGGTGTAGGCCCCCAAAACACTGTGGAGCAGGTCATGGTACGGACCACCCTGCAGGGAAAAACAGACAAGAGACTTTTACATATGAGCGGTCTCTGCTTAAGGTCCACCTAAAACGAGTTGTTTTACCTTCTGGAAGATAAAGAGAGATGGAAAAGTTCTAGAAATGTCCAGTTTAATGAGGTCCAGACTAGACTCTCTGTCAGCCAATGACGCTCCTCCATCTGATAGAGAACCACACCAGAAACCAGAAACAAATAAAAAAAAATTCAGGGTGAGACTTTCAGTGAATGGTAAACTTGTTAGACCCGAGACGTTTTTAAATGTGTTGTACCACTCTCATTGTCGTTCACGGAGCTCGTCTCGCTGTAACTCCTCCATTTCTCTTTGGCTCTGGATAAGAAGATTTCATACAGTTCTGGACAAAAAACACAGACATCAAGATTTTTATGAACTCTTAAAGTTTATTTCTTTATGGAATGTTCAGACTTTACTTAGCTCTATGTAATATAAAAAGATGTGTTTCAGTACTTTTTCTGTAAGATTTTGAAAAAGGCGCTGTGGAACAGCAAATCAGCTCTTCACCCTTGCAGAGTTATACAGGCACAACTTTCAGTCATAAATATTTGATGCTTGTAAATTAGTTTTGTAACCTTGTAAAATAAAATTGTGCTTTGTGCATATGTAGAGAGGAATGTCTGTGTGTAAAAAAAAAATGTATATTTGTAAAAATTACACAATTTACAATTTTTTGTGAAAGTCTGTTTACAGATACAAAGCAAAAAAAAAAAGAAGAAAAAACTGTGTAAGGCTCTGCATGTGAGTTTTAATGTGCAAGTACAAATTATGACCGGATTTTTCTTCCTCTCAGGCCCGGTTAGAATATCCACATTGCTCCCGGGCCTGTGTCTTCCCGAAAGCAAAGAAACCCAAACAGGTCTCCAGTCAGTCATCAGGTGAAAAGGAGGAACCCAGACCCAGACCAGTGGTCATTCTGTATGTTGCAGGATTATCAGAGAAACTGAGACGTTTATTTTTGCTGTAATGTATTTTGGGGTTTAAAAGCCACTGGGATGTTGTGTTTAGAAAATAAACGTCTCAATTTCTCTGATACTCCCTCAATATATGTTGTCCCTAACATAACAGCCTTTGACACTTCTTTGGTCTGGACATTTATACAGTGCCTTGCGAAAGTACTCGGCCCCTTGAACTTTTCAACCTTTTGCCACATTTCATTTTCATTTTGTATTGAACGTTTTTTGAACTCCTTCAACATACAGAATGACCACTGGTCTGGGTCTGGGTTCCTCCTTTTCACCTGCTGGCTGACTGGAGTCCTGTTTGGGTTTCTTCTCTGCTTTCAGGAAGGCCCAGTTAGGATATCCACATTGCTCTAGAGCCGGTCTTGTGTAGGATTTCTCCTTCTGCCTGGCTCCTGAGTTAGTGGGGATGCTGTCTGCTCTGTGGTACAGAGTCCTGATGACTCCTAAGTTGAACATTTTCTTGATTATGAATTTTCTTGACTACTTTCTTCACTTGAACTATTTTAGTAAACTTTATGGTTGTTAAATGTAAACAAAAAAACTGTTTTATTTGCTAAACTAAATATTCAAATAAATTCAGTTTATTTATATAGCGCCAAATTACAACAAAGTTGTCTCAGGGGACTTTACAGGAGCATTCGCATACATAGAAAAGCCAATTAGTAAAGTTGTAAAGTGAAGTGAATACAAATAACTTTCAAATATACCACGGTCCGTGCTCCACCTGACCATGGACTTTGTTGTTAATGTTAATGATACTTCCTGTCTGACAGGAAGTTGCACCCATAATCATTTATACAGAAGAGCCCCCAGCAATAAGGTGGGTACAATGGGGGAACTAAACAGCCACTGTCCAAAAGGATGGCACAGCACAGAAGATCAACATCATCAGGCCGTGATTCTGTGGTCTACACTCATCTCCAGGCTAGCGGTCACTCTTTCAGGGATGAAGATGTTCACATCCTGGATAGAGAGGAACGATGGTTTGAGAGAGGAGTAAAGGAGGCCATCTTTGGGAGAAGAATCCATCCATCATTAAACAGGGGCGGGGTTCTCTGTGTTCAACTGTCCCCCTCTTACAATGCTGTTATTGCTAGTATCACTCAGCCCTCTGTGAATAGCAAACAACTATCAGGGTGTTAACGATCCATCGTTAGGCTGATGGTCTGCCTTTTGCATGTTAACAACTATTTCTGGCCGTCAGCAGCAAATTGGCTGGTCCCCTATGAGAAGGTGCTATTTTTAAGACTGAGTTTATTGCCACTCCTCAGACTGAAGAAGTCTTTTGGATAAAAGATGAAATGTTTCAACAAAAAAGAATCCATCCAGAGAACCTGACTTAATTTTTGTTAGATTTTTCTACCTGGATTATTGAGCATGCATCAGGACACTGTTACTCATATTTTTTTAAGTTTAAATGAGCACACACAAAATTCAGCACTAATCTAAATAATAAATTACAGTTTGGATTGTATAACTCAGGCCCCCAGTGATGGGCTTTTAATTACGTTTTCAAAAAAAGGTTTATGTCTCAGAAAACAAAGTCCTAATATAACAGCCTTTGACACTTCTTTGGTCTGGACATTTATACAGTGCCTTGTGAAAGTATTCGACCCCCTTGAACTTTTCAAACTTTTGCCACATTTCAGGCTTCAAACATAAAGATATAAAATTTAAATTTTTTGTGAAGAATCAATAACAAGTGGGACACAATCGTAAAGGGGAATGAAATTTATTGGATGTGTCAAACTTTTTTAACAAATAAATTGAAAAGTGGGGCGTGCAATATTATTTGGCCCCTTTACTTTCAGTGCAGCAAACTCACTCCAGAAGTTCAGTGAGGATCTATGAATGATCCAGTGTTGTCCCAAATGACTGATGATGATAAATATAATCCACCTGTGTGTAATCAAGTCTCTGTATAAATGCACCTGCTCTGTGATAGTCTCAGGGTTCTGTTCAAAGCGCAGAGAGCATCATGAAGACCAAGGAACACACCAGGCAGGTCCGAGATACTGTTTTGGAGATGTTTAAAGCCGGATTTGGATACAAAAAGATTTCCCAAGCTTTAAACATCCCAAGGAGCAATGTGCAAGCAATCATATGGAAATGGAAGGAGTATCAGACCACTGCAAATCTACCAAGACCCAGACGTCCCTCTAAACTTTCATCTCGAACAAGAAGAAGACTGATCAGAGATGCAGCCAAGAGGCCCATGATCACTCTGGATGAACTGCAGAGATCTACAGCTGAGGTGGGAGAGTCTGTCCATAGGACAACAATCAGTTGTACACTGCACAAATCTGGCCTTTATGGAACAGAGGCAAGAAGAAAGCCATTTCTCAAAGATATCCATAAAAAGTGTTGTTTAAAGTTTGTCACAAGCACCTGGGAGACACACCAAACATGTGGAAGAAGGTGCTCTGGTCAGATGAAACCAAAATCGAACTGTTTGGTCACTTTGCAAAACGATATGTTTGGCGTAAAAGCAACACAGCTCATCAACCTGAACACACCATCCCCACTGTCAAACATGGTGGTGGCAGCATCATGAATTGGGCCAGCTTTTCATCACCAGGGACAGGGAAGATGGTCAGAATTGATGGGAAGATGGATGGGGCCAAATACAGGACCATTCTGGAAGAAAACCTGTTTGAGTCTGCAAGAGACCTGAGACTGGGACGGAGATTTATCTTCCAACAAGACAATGATCCAAAACATAAAGCCAAATCTACAATGGAATGGTTCACAAATAAATGTATCCAGGTGTTGGAATGGCCAAGTCAAAGTCCAGACCTGAATCCAATCGAGAATCAGTGGATAGATCTGAAGACTGCTGTTCACAAACGCTCTCCATCCAACCTCACTGAGCTCGAGCTGTTTTGCAAAGAAGAATGGGCAAGAATTTCAGTCTCTCCATGTGCAAAACTGACAGAGACAAACCCCAAGAGACTTGCAGCTGGAACTGCAGCAAAAGGCGGCGCTACAAAGTATTAATGCAAGGGGGCCGAATAATATTGCACGCCCCACTTTTCAGTTTTTTATTTGTTAAAAAAGTTTGACACATCCAATAAATGTCATTCCACTTCATGATTGTGTCCCACTTGTTGTTGATTCTTCACAAAAAAATTAAATTTTATATCTTTATGTTTGAAGCCTGAAATGTGGCAAAAGGTTGAAAAGTTCAAGGGGGGTGAATACTTTTACAAGGCACTGTAATACTTATAATTTACAAACATGTTGTTTTGATGCATTTCTTTCAGCTACTCCATTTTGCAGGGGTTGCCACAGCAAACGATCCTGCATAAAGGATTTGGCAATTGTTTTGCAACAGATGTCCTTTCTGACTCAACTTGGGCTTGAACTGAAAAACCTTGGGTTTACAAGACTGCAGCTTGGACCAACGAGCTACCACGACCCCAATTTACAGTAAAACTGAATCATGTCTCAAAGCTGAGTGTTCTGTGATGTGTGGGTTTATACCTGGTGTGATGTTGAGCTCGTTGCCGATGGCGAGGCTCCACACACGTCCTCTGACACCAGGAGGAAGCCCTTGCCACCACAGTTCTCGGACTCGTCTCGTTCCCTTCCTGCACGCACAGACGCACACACATACAATGAGCTGAAGAAACACACAGATTTACATGAACACAAAAGTCCAAGGACGTACATGGTGTCCCAGTTAGGCAGGATCTCATTGTTCCAGATGACCATGGCATTGGAGATGCTGTCCTCCTGTCGATGTCTCTCCTTCATCTGACGCTTCTTCTTCTGAGCTTCTTTGATCTCTGACAGACAAAAATAAATAAGTTCATTTTATTTAGTTAACTATTATACTACATATTAGTATTATATATTTTACTTATTTCATTTGTTTTCCACATTGACGAAATGTGTCCGTAAGTTGCTGCATATCTGTCTAATTCTTCTGACCACGTGAATCAAACCAAGAAATGAGCTTTTACCCACAGTCATGGTAAAATAAGATCACCCTCTTTCAGTTTTAGGGTCTTGCATATCACAACATAATGAAAATTATTGGGTCTTTTGGGTTATATATTTATTAATGTATAATTTAATATTTTATCATAATTTATTAACCTTTATTTAAATCTAAATTGTAAGTGAACAACAAAATAAATAAATAAATAAAAACACAGCGTCATTATTTATTAAACAAATCAAAGCCCAAATGGAAAAGCTGATTTGTGAAAAACTACCATATTTTCCGCCGCACATGTTGCACTGCCCTATAAGTCGCATCGGTCCAAATATGTCTAAAAAAGTGGAAAAAAATCCATATGTTGTTTCCATGTATACATCGCATCTATTATGAGTCACCGCTGACGTGTCGCATTTGTTACACGTTACCGCTGACAACCCAGAAATGTGGGCTGGTGTTGTGCCAATAATCAATTGGCTGCCAAATGGCGGCTGCGGGAGCGTGCACGGGAGGACTTTAACAAGAGTTTAACAAGATTAACACTTAAAAACAATTATTTGTTTGCTCAAAATTATAGTAAAGGTGTCTCAATTTAACTTTTACTTAATAAATGCACTTTGACGGTCAAATCAGCTGCATTTCGCCGGGGCGGTGCAGCTGATTTGACGGTTGCTCAAAGCAGCGAGCAGAACTAAGGTGGAAGACTATGGCAAGCCGATTGTGTCATTAATAGCTGGTGAAGATTTTCAGTCTTCCAGGACATGGTAAATTCAAAAATGTTCAAGACAAAAACAATAAAGTATAAAGTATAATGAATAAAGTTCAGTTGTTTTTGTCTTGAACTTTTTTGAATTTGTCATTATAGCCACTTTTACCTATTACATGATACAATGGCATGCCATACACTACTACTCTGCTGTCATTTAGTGGCTGAAAATGGTAGTGTTTAATTTTTTTTCAGTCAGAATGAAGGAAAACGGTCATATCTCAGCCAAAAATTGGTTTATAAATATGAGAAAACATCCATAAAAACGTTGCTTCGGCCTAAAAGTTGCAGGGCCTGCAAATTATGCCAAAAACCATGACTTATAGGCAAAACAATACGGTAATTTCACCCTGGCTGCTTCCACAGGATGTAGGAGGTTCAGTATCACTCAGGCACTGCTGATCACATGTGCTGTAACCAAGCAGTCATAGTCTTGACCGTTTTTCCTGTAGGTTTCAAAGTTTGTAGAAATTTAGATGTGTCCATGTTTACCTCTCCTCTTAGCTCCTGCCACCATCTCTTCATACTCCAATTTGTGTCTCTGAGTTTCCTCCACAGACTTGGCAGGCAGATTTCTGAAAAACAAGCACAGATGAGCAATCAATCAGCCAGACGGGCAGGTTTTTAATCTCTCAGGCGTTGAGCCCTGCGAGTGGCTCCAGACAACCTCTGAATTACGTGACAACTGAGAGTCTGAGGGAAGATGTGCAGCTCTTTAAAGAAACTGGAAATGTTTCAATAAAGCAAGCAGCTCACCTGAAGCTCGACATTTAAGAGGGAAAAAAAGAGACATTTATTTTTCAACCAATTGTTGCATGTGCTCAAACTTATACACAGCCAAAAACGGTCAGTGGAATTCAAATTAAAATAATTCGGAACCTCTTGGTGTTTGGTCTCTTGGATGTGTTAAAGAAAAAAGGAGTCAGACTAGATAATCATGTTGTGAAAATTTGGTTCTGCACTACTCCAACCTTCTCAAGAACTTTTTCAGTAGGAGGCTAACGACTCAGGAGGCTGGAGTCATTTCCCAACATCAACACACAGATGTTCTGTTGGGTGAAAATGTTGGTGAACACACACTGTTTAAACACTGATGACAATGTTTTACCAGCAACACAGGCATGAAAAGAGTTAGGAAGTTAGAATCAGCAGCAGCTGTCAATTTTGTAGAGCGAGACAACACATTTTTAAGAATCTAATAAAAAATTATTTTACAATGAGTTTATCTTTATTCTTTATTTTGCAGCAGTCCCAGCTGAATGCGTGCAGCCCAAAAAACTTGACCTTGTTTTCTGTAATTACAGACAAGATGCCAAGATGGCCGCGCTCAGCCGAGCCGCAGCGTCACAGGCTCCCGGTGAACTCGATCTTTTTATGTTCCTGTTGTTTTCGCCTTAACCTTTTTTTGCACCTACACTGCACATCCACAGTACGGATATGACTGTGACACACTTGTGGAGTTTTCTGTGTCGCTGCCTTGCCATCGTGGTTCAGTCCTTCCAGCCTCGGGCTCAGGCCTGTCATGGTGTCTGTCTCCATGATCCTCCATCTGCCTGCATGGACCGAACTCTATGAACCCGCTTGGTTTTGTGGAAGAAACTTGGATATTTTCCATCTGCCAGACCTGGTTCTGGAGGGCAGTCTGGGAGGGCAGCTGCTGCAGTCACTGTTACCATCGGTCTGCTGACGGGACCATGATGCTAAAATAACCTCCTTGTCATCAGAACCACTCTGCCAATAGGACCATGCTGCTGTAGATTTATTTCTTTTTCACTTTTGGTGCTTTGTTTCTGTATTTTTGTTGCATGCTTTGAATAAATCCTAGTTTATGCTAGTTTAGGTTCACAATACTGTGTATGCTGTTCAGTGTCAGGAGGGCTGTGATCAGTCTTACATCGGGGAAACTAAACAGCCACTGGCCAAAAGGATGGACCAGCACAGAAGATCAACATCATCAGGCCAGGACTCTGTGGTCTACACTCATCTCCAGGCCAGCGGTCACTCTTTCAGGGATGAAGATGTGCACATCCTGGACAGAGAGGAACGATGGTTTGAGAGAGGAGTGAAGGAGGCATGAGGAGGAGCTGCAGGAGGAAGTTTCTCCTGCAGTGTGGGGTTGAACAGGTGCAGCAGGTGCTAAATAATTAAAAATAACTTATAAAAAAAAAATCCCTGCTGATCGTGCGGCTCATCCATCAATCAGCCAATTGTGTGTCATGTCTAATCTTATTTTGAAAAACTGCGATATAGCAAGTCCGGAAAAACGAACTGCAAAGCGGCGAGGGACTACTGTAGATTAAAGTCTGTACTTTTGATCAATTAAAACGAATCACTGAGAGGCTGTGTCTTTCCTGCTAGAGCGACTGAAATCGCTCACGTGACTTTCATGCACCGGCCCATCGATTGACTCCAAACAACAACAAAAATCATCATCAGTCAGAGTAGGCGTCGCCAGAAACGCCAAAAATCGCCGCCTGTTAATAAGAAGGCAGCTACTCACATTGGTCGATCCTCCAAGATGAGAGCTGTGGTGGACAGAGGCTCAAAATCCAGGTTCTTCCTTCTTCCTGCAGCCGGAGGGTGCTGAGAACACGAGGACACTCCAAAGTCCTTCACCTCCTCCTGCAACACACAACAAACATGAGAGGAACTGTCACAAAGTTGCAGTAGCTGTGTCAGTCCCCATGAGCTACTCAAACTCACATCCATCTCAGAAGAGGTAGTTCAGTTTTAGTGTAAAAAGTTACTGCAACTTATGAGTGCCAGTCTATAAGAAATGTAGCATCTTTATGAGTATTTGCTGGTTATTTCCCAGTGTCCATCACAATTTTCTGCTCACAACTCCTCCCACATAAAAAAAAAACAACTAAATAAAACATGAAACAAAATGTGCAGATAGATCAAGATTAGTGTACTCTGGTTATAGTACATTATGCAAAGAAGAGTAGATGAAATTTGAATAATAAATAGTTACAGACAACAATTTGATGAAACTAGTGAGAAAATTCTGCTCTCCTTGGAGCTCTTTAGTTTAAACATACTTCACAGTAGAAGCATCAATCAAAGTATAAACAAGTGGGGAGTGGTGGCGCAGAGGTTAGAGAGGGTGGGCCTGTTGTCGGAGGGTCGCCGGTCCAACTCCCTGGACCGACAACATCAAAATGTGGGTGGAGAAGGTGAAACAACCACATCTGCCTCCACCCTCATTTGCACCACTCTGGGCCCTTGAGCAAGGCCCTTAACCCCCCCAGCTGCTCCCCGGGCAGCTCACTGCTTCACATGTGCTCACATGTGCAATGGGACAAATGCAGAGAATTTCCCCACTGGGGATTAATAGAGCACAAGAAAATAAAATAAAAATAAGAGTCACAAAAAGTTGGACTTTACAAGACTGAACAGGCATTTTGATATGTTGAATCATTTTTCCACAGTTTAGGTTTGAAGATTGTTTATAAGATTTTACCACAGAATGTTCAATTTTAGTGATGATGTAACACTTTGACCTGTTTAATGTTTCTTCTTATTGTCACAAACCTTACACTTTTCAAACACCTTCTACATCAAGAAGTTAGCATGTTGTCAGCTTGTATCACTACAAAGGTAAGGCCCATATTATCAGATTAGGTTTATTGGCAAGAGTTGATGGATGTTGGAGTTTCAGACGGTAGCTGCTCTGGCATCATTTCTTCTGAAATGCTCAAGTTGTATCTACTGTTAAAACTTCTTGGTAAATAAAGTTTTACATCTTTTTTACAAAATGTTCATGTCTCTACAACAGACACACACGAACAAAGTGGTTATTCATCTCAGAACGTAACATTTGCATCAGCATGTTATGTACGTTTGAGAGTCCACGTGCGGTCTTTCAGTCCGAATGAATGTAAACGCTTGTACCACAGTGACGGTGTGAAGTTGTGTGTGTGTGTGTAGTCTAATGGCCAAAGCAATGAATTGTGTGTTTGTGTGATCAGTCTGCACCATAAACAGTTCATTGACAGGAGCAGGACAGCTGAGGATCGAACAACAGGTCTTTTAAGACAAGACGTCTTACGTCGTCCAGCAGGGGGAGACAAAGCTCAGTTTCTGAGGCTGAAAAATCCATATGTGGCTGTTCATGAGTAAAAATAAAATCATGGGACTGATCCAGTGATTCCATAATAAAAAGCATCAAATAAAACTTTCTCTGTATCACAGCTAGACTGAGGAGCGGGTGACGCACAGATATAAATACATGATGTGCTGTTTCACGTGTGCTGTATGATGAATGGAAGACAAACTGGAAAACAAATACGTGACTGTCTATTATCGTTTAGAAACATCTTTTCTCAAGCATGTGCAGTCAAATGAGAAAATACTTTCATGAAAATACAAAAGAAGGATTATGAAAAGGTAAAATGTATTACTTAAAATATTTAGAATATAAAGCAGACCTGAACTGTAGGAATGGATTTTAATTTAAAAATATTGAGGAAAAATTTAAAATCTTGTCTACAGAAACATAAAGGTTAAATTATATTAATTTGCTCAAGTCCCTAAATTGCTTTTTTTTAAACTGTTGAATTTTCTGATTTAGCGCCACAGTAAATAATTTATTATTGAATCATTTTAAAGCAAAAAGTGCAAAAAAAATGAAATACTTCAGGAATACAGTAGAGCTTTAAAATTTGTGAACTCTTCATAATTTTCTATATTTCTGCATAAATATGACCTAAAGCATCATCAGATTTTCACACAAGACCTAAAAGTAGATAAAGAGAACCCAGTTAAACAGATGAGACAAAAATATTATACTTAGTCATTTACTGGTTACATTTCTGGTAACTGTTCATCAGTCCTGCACACCAGCTTGAAGGACTTTGAGCCCATTCCTCTGTAGAGAACAGCTTCAACTCTGGATGTTGGTGGTTTCCTCACATTAACTGCTGCTTCAGGTCCTTCCACAACATCTGGATTGGATTAAGGTCAGGACTTTGACTTGGCCATTCCAAAACATGAACTTTATTCTTCTTGAACCATTCTTGGGTAGAACCACTTGTGTGCTTAGAGTCATTGTCGCTGCATGAACCACCTTCTCTTGAGATTCACTTCATGGACAGATGTTCTGACATTTTCCTTTAGAATTCTCTGATATAATTCAGAATTCATTGTTCAGTCAATGATGACAAGCCGTCCTGGGCCAGATGCAGCAAAACATACCCAAACCATGATACAACCACCACCATGTTTCACAGATGGGATCAGGTTCTTATGCAGGAATGCAGTTTTCCTTTCTCCAAACACAACTCTTTTCATTTAAACTAAAATGTTCTTTTTTTGGTCTCATCCATCAACAAAACATTCTTCCAACAGTCTTCTGGTTTGTCCACATGATCTTTATCAAACTGCAGACGAGCAGCAATGTTCTTTTTGGAGAGCAGTGGCTTCTCCTTCAACCCTGCCATGACACCACTGTTGTTCAGTTCTCCTGATGGTGGACTCATGAACATTAACATCAGTCAATGTGAGAGAGACCTTCAGTTGTTAGAAGTTACCCCAGGGTCCTCTGTGACCTCCCTGACTATCCCACACGTTGCTCTTGGAGTGATCTTTATTGGTCCATCACTCCTGGGGAGGGTAACAATGCTCTTTAATTTCCTCCATTTGTACACAATCAGTCTGACTGTGGATCGGTGGAGTCCAAACTCTTTGCAGATGTTTTGTAACTTTTCCAGCCTGATGAGCATCAATAACTTTCTCTGAGCTCCTCAGAAATCTCCTTTGTTCCTGCCATGATGCACTTCCACAAACATGTTGTGAAGAGCAGACTATGATGATCCATGTTCTTTAAATCAAACAGGGTGTCCACTCACACCTGATCATCATCACATTGATTGAAAACACCTGACTCTAATTTCACCTTCAAATTAACTGCTAATCCTAGAGGTTCACATACTTTTACCATTCACAGATATGTAATATTGGATCATTTCCCCAAATAAATAAATGGCCAAGTATAAACCAACATTTTTCAGTCAGGTCATCTGGACAGTTTCTTTTTTTGTGCTGAAACGTTTCGCCTTCAATCCGGAATGCTTCAGTCAAGGAAACACAAAACTGATTCTTCCCCCAACCTGACTGAAAAATGTTGGATTGTATACCTGGATTATTGAGCATGGACTTTGTTGTTTTCAACCAGTTTGACATGACTGTAAACAAGGAAGAGGGCCGGCAATGGAGGAGGAACGTACCAAAGAGACCATCTTAACACCAACCAAACTGGTTTGTTCCACTTTGGAGTAAGCTGTTGAGGGAAGAATCAGTTTTGTTGTGCGTTTCCTTGACTGATGAAGCCTTCCGGATCGAAGGCGAAACGTTTCAGAAAAAAAAAAAAAACTGTCCAGATGACCCGACTGAAAAATGTTGGATTGTATACCTGGATTATTGAGCATGGACTTTGTTGGCCAAGTCAAATATTTTGTCTCATTTGTTTAACTGGGTTCTCTTTATCTACTTTTAGGACTTGTATGAAAATCTGATGACGTTTTAAATGGTAAATGGACTGTACTTATATAGCGCCTTTTTATCTTATTTCAAGATACTCAAAGCACTTTACACTACAATCTGTGTCCTCATTTACCCATTCATACAGCACTCTACATCTCTACAAATCTAATTGAACAAATCGTTCTAAAGAGACTAATCAGAGCTTTAGATCACATTCATACACCGATGGGACACACATCGGAGGCTTTGAGGGGTTCAGTGTCTTGCTCAGGGACACTTCGGCATGTGACTGCTGGTGGATTCGAACCCCCAACTCTCGCATTGGAGGACGACTGCTCTAACCACTCAGCCACAGCCGCCCATTTTAGGTCATATTTATACAGAAGTATAGAAAATTATAAAGAGTTGACAAACTTTCAAGCACCACTGTATAAGGCTACTTATGGGACAGATCTGGTTGGCAGGCCACAGACTGATGAAGTTTTCCGGATGGAAGACGAAACGTTTCTTCCTTAAAGAAACTGGTCCAGATGAAACGATTTAACCTTTTTTTTGTTGTTGTCTTCAACCAAATGGTTTAATACATAGGTTGTATTTATTTTTCTACAAACAGAAAAATTGAAAAAAGTACTTTATTTTCTTAATTTCAGAAAGAATTACTTTAGTTTTATCCTGATGCATGCTCAATAATAATATACTTTAGTTTTACTTGAACAGACAAGTTTCTGTAGTTTTCAAACAGAAGCTGATGTTATTCCAGAAGTTTGCACACTGTTGCTGCTCAAAATTTAGATGCGCAGTGACTTATCCATTCAGAACTGATAAGAATTTTTAAGCACAACTGAATAAAACCCTCTGCAAAATGCAATGTCTATAAAAGCTCAAAGGGCCAACAGGAAGAGATTTTAATTTGGACTAAAACAAAACTCAGACACTCTTCAAAATAAGTCTAGCTTTGCTACATCTTAGACATAACAAAAATAAAAATCCCAAATTTGTACTGGGGTTAATGGAAGCAAGCTGGTGGATGGTGAAAGTTTTGAGCAGTAGTTACAATGGCAGCCTTTACCATTTCTTCAGAATGTTTTAGACTTGCATCAGAATTATTTACAATAAGCCTTGTGGTAATAATCCTTTCT